AACAATTAAGCTGTCATTACTCTTTTCTTCTTCTTATTGAGTACTGTCAATCAATAAATTTGAATTCGCGATACAGGTTTACGAATATGTATACGTATACTTGTCAAAGTCTTCTCAAAATCTTGATTCTACAGAGAGACTGACTTTCTTGAGTTCAAAGGTTACTGTTCAAAGAGAGAGACATGGTTTTGGGTAACGATTTATATGGTGGACGTGAAAAAAGTATTGAATCTGAATGAATTTTAATTTTACAAATTTACTTTAAAAGGACCTCAACTTAAAGATACATTCTAAAAGAAGCCTCAAATAATATATACTACAGATACATAACATCAAGCAATCGAGCATACTAAACTAAAAAAGATCTACTTCGTATTCTAAAACTTTTTTTCTTTTTAGTATTAATGGAATAAACTCCATATGAAAATAAAATTACTTTCTGATATAATACTTACTTTTAAGCAAATCTAATTCATTTTCGTTTTATCCCTCTCCTACTACAACGGGCACGATCCTCTCCTTCATTGCACTCCCTCCCCGTCCACCTATTGCATTATACTGCTCTCCATACGCTCTCAATTGCACTATATCCCTCCATCATGTTCTTTTATGTTTCTTTCGCCTTGTTGTTCGTTTATGGTTTCTTCGATTTTTTGGTCATCACAATCTCTAGATGCCTATTGTGTGGATCGTGCGAGTTGATTTGACAGATTCAGGATTGTCTTTACCAAATTTGTGCCGATTTAAAATTAAAAAAAGTAGTTTCATAATTTCATTCTTCTCCTTGCATTTTCTTTGAACGTGTTTAAAAGTACCTATGTGTAAACTTATAAGTTACTCAAACTACTTTTAGTTGCTTGAATGAATATGAATTGAAATTGTGTATTTATGGATTTTGGCATGTTATGTGTCCACATGCTCATCTTCTCAACATAATCTTTAGAATTTCTTTTTAGAACTCTACGTTTGGGATATTTTGCTATGGTTTATAAAAAAAATCATGTTACATGTATAGCTTTATTGACATTAAGTTTGGCATTATTGTGAAGTGACAAATTTATAAGCATTGAATTTAACACTATTTTAAAAAATTAATGACACGAATTTTGACAACACATGAAGCGTCAGACTTAATGTACACTCAAGTGTGTACAACTAATTTAAACATTTTAAGAATAAAAAAAACCTTATTTAATGGATATGTTGTCACGTTCTATAAGAACAAACAAAACCTTATTTAGCTTATGTTTGGTGTCAATTAAAATCTAGATTTTAATTTACGTATAATTCAACAATTCATTTTAAACACATATTTTATCGGCCCATAACTTTTCGCCATGCATTTCATCAACTTCTATCAAAACCTTCTAAAAATTTCATTTTAATTCTCAACCAAATGGGGGCTTAATATTTACTTAATTCATGTAAATAATTTTATTGTTAAAAGAAATGAATATTAAAAATATATTAAGTTTTAAATTAAAAAAATCTGGTATGCATTTTCTAAGCTTCTTCCAAATAATTCCTTTCTTTCCTTGGGACTTCTTGAGCAAGTTGATATGATGAGATAAGGATTTAGATCATAGTAGTAGTGATTCAATATACTTTGCAATTACCTTTGTAAACGACCATCTATATTAAAACGACCACTTTACTAATCAAAAGATTCAACTTGGTTGAACCATAAACGTAAAAGACCACGCATATTCTGTCTGTCGGTGTGACCTGTGTATGGCCTAGGAATACCTCGATTATGTTTGCATGTCCATATTGGTATCAACCTTTAAGCTTACATAGGCTTGCCTCAATTCATTTACTTTCCATAACTTTACGAGTCATGAGAACTAATATATCTCTATCAAGTATCAAGAGTGAAATGCTAAATCACATTTAAGTTAGTTGTAAACAATTTATTAAACTCGCTCGATCATGTTCAATAACTTTTATGTATTGTACATTATTTTATGTGTAGCCCAAATTCATTTTATTTAGTAAACATCTAAAATATAAACATATAATTTGATAAAAAAAAATCTAAATATTAGAATGTTTTAATATTATATCAAATCTCTTAACAAAGTAGACTGTTAAGAGAATGATAAATTCATTCAATTTATTTTTTATTCATTTGCAAATTTATAATCATACAAAATTATATAATTGTATATATCATTTAGAAATTCTACGTTTTAAGTGTCTCGATCATGACCGTGAATAGTCGATCACTTCCACCAGTGAAGTGTCCATTTTGTCCCTCTTCACTAAATTCGTTACGATTAATTTTAGAAGATGACCATAGCTATTTAAAAATTTGAACAGTGGTATTTATGTCGTTAAAATATAAAATGGAGATACTTATAAAACGAAGTATTTAATAGCTAAGATTTGATGATGCATGAATCAAATGGTACTAAAAGTCTAAAACTATGATTTTATTACAATGTTTTATTGCCACATGGATACATAGCGCGTGTCATAGTATTGTTAAATTTACTGATAGTAACATAGAGAATAAATGTCTTCATTATAGTGTTACCGATTAGATCTAGTGTTGAACAAATCCAACGGTACTAGTGTATGGTGATTTTTCTCCAATATTTGATATTGTACGGAGGAACTGCTGTCGTAACTGTTACAGCAACATTTGTTTGGTCTATTTTTTTCAATTTTTTTGCAATTTTCCAATTGAAAGCTGCCAAGTGTTATTCGTTACAATTCTGGCAGCATTTTTTCTATACACATAGTAGGTTTAATATTTGCTTGTCAAGTGGATATACAAAGGGCCTATATGATCAAATTTTTTATAGAAGTTTAATCGGATTTTAATAAAAATTGATGAAATATGTTATCGATACAAAGTATGATTAAAATCAAGTTTGACCAGTTGAAATGTTGATAAAATTTTACAAACAAGCACTAAATTTGTTGACAATGACAAAAAGAGATGAAATCACTATAGTTAATATTTAGATATGATTTTGCACTATAGTACATCGTAATGATTTTATATCAATGTTTGATTGACATGTGGATATGCAAACTTTGTTCCTAATAGAGATGCAAACTTGCTAGGGAAACAAACTTTTTTGACAGGATTTGTTTTCAGGGCTAAAGAGTCTGTCAAATTAACTGTAGATATAGGGCCAAATCAGCCCTGGAAACAAATCCCGTCAAAAATGCCTGTTTGAATGGCTTTTCCCTTAGAGATGTACTACATCTACAGTTAATTTGACAGACTCTTTCAGATATTAAAAAAAAAAAAAAGAGTTTGATAGAAAATTGTAGAAAGAGACGCCAAATCAGCCCTGGAAACAAATCCTGTCAAAAATGCCTGTTTGAATGGCTTTTCCCTTAGAGATGTATTACATCTAAAGTTAATTTGACAGACTCTTTCAGATATTAAAAAAAAGAGAGAGAGAGAGAGAAAAAAGAGTTCGATAAAAAATTGTAGAAAGAGACAAATTAATGATAAGATTCGATGCTTCATTAACACAACTACAACGAAATGATTTTGTTCTAATTTTTGATTGCATGTGCAGAACGTGTGCCATAAATTAGTTGACAATGAAATAAGAGAGAGAATAACTTAAATAATAAGTAATGCTACGGAGCCCATTGAATTGCGATATCAATTTAGGTGGTACTAGATTATAAGTTAAATGAAATGCGGAATTAAATGAATTCCACTTATTATTTAACGTCACATTAGTGTCATCTAGATTAAAATTGCGAGCTTGATGAGATCAAATAGCATTACTCCTTAAATAATAGGTTACATGTAAGATAAGGTTTTTTATGAATCTAATTTTATTACTGCATGACGATTTTGTTCTAAATTTTAATGTCACGTGGATAACACGTGCTATGGGATTACGAAATTTGTTGACAAGGATTAAAGCGCAAAAAAAAAAATAATAATAAATAAAAATATAACTTTGTTAACAGGATATCTATAAGATTTGGTACAACACGAATTCAAAGAGCTTGATGGTTCTTTGGGTGTCATGTGGATATACAATATTTATTGGACAAAAAGAGGAAATAACTTCATTAACAGGTTAACAATAGGATCTGGCTTTGATGCTGCACAAATCCAACGGCACTAGAGTATGGTGACTATGTTCAACGATTGCCACATGCATATACTAAATTTTTAAGGGTGAAAAAAAGGAAGATGAAATAATTTTATCAACGCATTATCGATAAAATTCGGTCCTAATATGATGATTTTGCTCGAATGTTTAACTGACACATGCCATTTTATTACTAAATTTGTTGATGGTGACAAAATGGACGATATAACTACATTACCTAGTAATCAATAAGATTCGGTGGTGCATGAATTTAATGATACTTGTTGGATTTTGATTCCCAATAAATTTCAAATGATGATGTTAAGTCATTGTGATTTTTATTCAACGTTGTCCAGATGAATGAATTATATGTCAACACCTAAAATTGACGACTTGACTCGAAAACCGTTTGGGGCCATATGAAGTTGCCTAATTTAATTAGAATTGCTCATGGCTCTTTCCATTGACTTCTTAGAAGGCTTGTGAGAGTTTGCCCACTACTTGTTTTAATCAGCCCATCTAATAGCTTGGACTTGGCCCACTCCTATACCTAATACAAGCTATATATTGCTGCCGTGGAAATTATAGAATACCAGGGCTTTAAACATTACAATTCAAAAATCAAAGCCGAAGTCTCATTATTCAAAAATTAGGTATTGATTTAATAATTTAAATATTAAATATTTCAACCCTAATTCCTTTCTCTCTACTATAAAACACCGCCGTCATCACCACGGCGAAGCTTTGAAGCAACCTCACTAGAGACTATTCTGTTTGTTTCCTCTCTGTGGTGTAAGGTGGAGTCATGTTGGTGTTGTTTTCTCTCTATGGTGTAAGGTGGAGGCAGCATAGTGAACAGTATGGTGTGGTGTGCTACGCATTTGGCCTTCCCCTGCCATCTTTTCATTTTCCTTAATCTTTCTCTCACTGTCTCACTTTCTTTGTGTGTTTTTTGAGTATGGATTAAAGGGTTTTTGTCTCCAAGATTTTCTCAAAACTACCGAAACAAAAGAAAGGCACAGAGAGAGAGAGAGAAATCATAAACATATATTCAAAGCTAGTTTTTCCTTTTCACCATTGAAAAGGGCAGCATCAAGTGGGGTATAGTGTATTTATAGTCATACAAATGGCATGCATGTGCCATTGCTACCTACTGCCTAGTACCTTCTGGTCTTCCTTTGTGGGGAATGTAATGTTGATTTTTTTTTATTTAGTGCATAGAAGTCATTAGACAACTTGTACGGTGGTGTGGTGCAGTCAGTTGTTGCGGGCCGTGGTTGTGGTGGTGTTGTGACGGGGCGAGGTGTAATAGTGACTATGACCAACTATTTAGTTGTTTTGTGACCAAGTATTGGTGGTGAATTGGGATCACTGATGAAGTTTTTGATGTATGTGACCAATGATTTGGCCTGTGATCTTTAAAATTTAATAATTTTTTATTAAAAAAATAATTTGTGACCAATAAATGTGAAAATATGTGACACATAGATAAACTGTGACCAGAAATTAGAATGATCTTTGACCTCGGATAATTTGTGACATACAAAATTTTTGATTTGTGACCACGAAATAATTCGTGACAAATTAATTTGAAGATATGTGATCAGTAAATAAATATGTGACCTATAATTATAAATATGTGACCGTTAATCGCATAACTGTGACTTTATGATATTTATTTAATAAATATTTTTAATTAATTAAATATATGCTTGAATTTTGAATTTTTAAACTATCTACCTGATTTTGGAATTGGTGAAAATAATACACCTGAATTATGAATTTTTCCCTATTGCTGCCTTCCTTGGTCTTGTAATTCACGTGTGTTTTTGCCCCTTTTCAATAGAAAGAAAAATGGCTTCCTCTGACTCTTGCTTTGTGCTTTATGTTTTTCTCTCTTCTCTGCCTTTGTGGCTGCAAAACATACTAACCTTGTGTCATAAGTGGGTACAAGTAAAAGCAATTGGAGTATGGGATAGTTGAAGGATTCACATCATGATTTAGGTGTTTGATACGGTTGGAACTCGAGATTTAGCCCGAAAAATACCTTGGTAAAGCCATCTTACCTAACATCTAGTATTAAAGCAACGTTGGTGATGAAATTTTGGCCAAAATTTGACCAAAATTGAAACAGAAACCTTAAACCAAAAAGTGTCCAATTTTTACCAAAAAGGGACCTTTAAACCATAATTCCAACCAAATTACAAACGAGCTGAACAAACAGAGGCTAGATCCTTGCTGTACAAGTGAAGGAGTGCTTGATGTAGTCCGCATGATGGTGACACATGGAAACTCTGGCGGTGGCGCGTGGAGGCGCATCCGGCTGTTTCTATATAAGCTTTCTTCGGGCAAAATATTTCTAACGTGGTTTCTAACAATTTTGTGTTGTTGGTTTTCAATTTCAAGTTATACAACGAATCTAGATGATTTACCCCTGGATGCTCGATTTTTCACTTATCAATTGATCATGTTGCTATATTTGCTGAAACTTTAGGACGAACAGTATTGGTCCTAAAGCAGAAAAGTCATATTTCTAATTATTTACAAACTACAGATTGGTTCACTATGGTAAATTAACTTATCCCATTTAAATTTTAGCAATTGCAATTCATAAGTATAGGGTGACATTAGGATTGAGGTTACTATATGGGGTAACCATTGCTTTTACCAGAATATATGAATTATTTGACCTAACTGATTTGCTGGATTTAATTGCAAGTTGAGATTATGTATTTTAATTTCCATTAAGTCACTATGTAATACTACATTGTGTGAGAAATTGATTTTGTTGACATATCTTTGTGTTGCATTGATTATTTCATTAGGATATCAGGACTTGACCCGTTTGACTATTCCCTTGATACTAAGATTTCAAATCTTATTAAACCTTGAAAATTTAGAACGACGTATATTCTAACCTTAGAATTACTGTGTGACCTAATTGTGCATTTTTGGTGGTTTTGTTTTCAAAAAATAATTTCACATTTTGAAATGAGAATTTTGAATGAAAAATGAGACTTTTCAATTTGGCAACAAAAGACAAGTGAAATTTTTGTTCAACGAAAATTTTCAAAAGCCATCAATGTCAATTTTTCTGAAAATTTGTCAATAGAACAAAAAGAAGAATCCGACAAACTTGCTTACGTTTCAATTATTTTATACTTGTTAAAGATCGTTATGCGAAAATTTGATACTACAAAAGAACTTTGGAAAAAATTGAAGGACTTATATTTGTTTAAGTTCGCTCTTAATAAGTTGTAATTGCTCGAAAGATTTTTATATTTTAAAATGGATCCTTCAAATGATCTAGAGATGGTAACAAGGCGGGTATGGAATAGGTCAGTCGTTCCCACCCTTGTCCCGTCGGGTATTTTTATTATCTTACCCTAGACCTATTCTCGGTTAAAGCAGGACAGGGCGGATTCAAGCGGGATCGGGTTGGGATGGGGCAAGTCTTCTGCCCCATTTATTTTTTTCTTTTTATTTTTTTATTCTTTTTATTTTTTGCTTTTATTTTTTATGTCTTTAGTTAGTAAATATTATTATTTTTTTACCAATTTGTTAAAAACAACTTATATTCTCTTTAAAAAGGATGATAAATCCATTTTTTTGTTCGATAAAAACTTAAATTTAAAAATTAATATTAAACGGGGCGAGTAATGGGGTGGGGACTATGTTTCCCGTACCCGTCCCATTTGGGGTGGAGCTCACGGGTATCGGGTTGAACGAATTTTTTTGTCATCTCTAAAATGATCTTGATGATAACTTGAATATTTTTAGCAAATTTGTTCAAGACATTGTTAATTGTAATCAACAGGTGTCTGAAACATATAGTACCATTGTTTTGCTAAATTCTATGCTCGACTCATATATATAGAGAGGTTAACAACTCGATTAAGTATGACAGAGATACCCTAACACCTGTGATTGTCATTAATTTCCTTAAAAATAAGGAAATGGAGAATAAGACTGAAAAAGAGGATAAAAGGAGTAGTGAGATACATATGATGATGATTAAAATGAATTTTAAACAAATGAGTTTTGGTAAAGCTCAAGGCAATAGTGATTCAGAGATGAGCGTGGTAAGAAGAAGAGCAAGGGTTATGACAAGTCCAATGTTAGATGATGCAACAGTTGTGGTAAGGTTGGAAATTTTATTAAGGACTGTCCTAAGAAGAAGGATAAATAGAGAGGTAAGATGAAAGGTGATGTGAATGTGGCTATATGGTCGAGTGATGACCCTATTGAGACTTATTAAAAGTAAACATAGTTACTGTATGTGTATCTATGTGTAATCATTTCTACATATGCATAATTGTTCAATTCTATTGCATGGTTATATGCTGCATTTTAATATGTTTGATATATGTATTTGCATAAATTTTAGAGCAATTTGATTACTTAGAGTAATTGTTTGCATACATAGTGGTCGGTATGCATTAGCAATAAGTGTGATGTGTATCTATTGGTAATGTGGAGTATAGATGCTTAAAGATTCATTGGTGATATACACAGGGGATGTGGATTGTGACATTTGGATCACGAATGGAGATATAATTAAATGTTTGGAATTCTTTATTTGTGAAGGCCGAGGAATATGAGAAAGACACTTATATCACTTCTAGTGGGTGGAAACCCATTATCCACTTGGCGTGAGAGAAGTGAGGTTGAGATAGAGGATTATCCCATGAATTTTGGATTTATTGGGGTTTACTAGTTAGACACGAGGTCAGTGATCAGACTAGTGAGCATGTTAGCGAAAAAAAGGAGATATGCGTTCTCGAGGCGTGAGCAACACGGAATGGGATAGGATAAGTGTAGTGAGATCATTTTGTGGGGTTATTTAAGCATTTGTTTCATATGCGTTGGCCGTTTATTGATGAACTTAGTGTTAGTTTGTTATTCTGTGTGAATATGCATGTTATCCAATATTATATCTTCATCGCATATTTCTATGTTCTTGATTGATTACTATGATTACTTGTTCCTACTCAGGTATTTTTTACCTTAGTCTTGGTGAGTAAATGGAGATGGTATGGTATGTATTTTGGGTTCGAAATACGAGTCCGTAATCCCAATTTTATTGGTGACCTTTATTATGCAAGTATTAAATTTGTGTTTTAATTGCTTGCAGGTTGATTGGATATCAAGATGAAGATTTGTTAGGTTTTGATATCCAAATAAATCCTAAATGATGATTTTAAGTCATTGGAATTTTCAATCAGCATTGTGCATATGAATGAATTAAATATCAACAACTAAAATTAACGACCTAACCCGAACTTGGGGGCAGTTGAAGTAGCATGATTTAATTAGAGTTGCTCTTGGCCCGTCTCATTCACTCATTGGTAGGCTTGTTAGAGTTGGCCGACTATTTGGTTAACTTGGCCCGTCTATTAGCTTGGACTTGTCACACTCTTATACCTAATACCAGCTATATGTAACATTCATCTGTCTTGTAATTCATGTATTTTTTGCTCCTTTTCGTTAGAGAGAAAAATGGCTTCATATGACTCTTGATTTGTACTCTACAATTTTCTCTCTTCTTTGCCTCTGTGGATGCCTTTATGGCTGCAAAACACATTCACCTTGTTTCGTAAGTGGGTACAACTAAAAACGATCAGAGTGTGGGATAGTTGAAGGATTCAGGTCATAATTTTGGATATTTGATATGTCTGGAACTCGAGACTGAGCCCGGAAAACACCTTTGTCGAACCATCCTACCCAACAACACTAGATCATGATAATTTTGTTTCGATGTTTGATTGTCATGTAGATGACACGTGATATAGTGTTAGTAAATTTGTTGATAATGACGAAAAGGAATTCAAATAAATAGTGGGTATCAACCGATCAATATAATTAGATTAGGGTTTCTCAATATAACTATTAAGAGTTTCGGTAAAAACAAAATTGCAAAGGAAAAAATTAAACAAAAAATATTGCTGTCAAAGGTGGAATCTACATATAACTGACTCTTATGTGAAAACTAATGCTTTAATGAGTTGTGACTGTGTATTTGGTATAATTATCTGCTAAGTGCTTTTTCAATAAGGCTTGATGACATGTTAATATTATATATGCCAGTGATTAATTTTGATTATGTAACATACATAATAGTATTTGATTGAGTACAATAGTACTTTTTGATTTGAACATATGGTTTTTGATATATCCGAAGCAAATCTTGTAAGGGCAACAACCGCAATCACCAAAGTATAACTATTCACATGGCACTATGACAACTTCAGGTCGAAGGCTAATTTCACTACTGAACATTATAAATTATCCACTGACATTCAGTTAGTTATCGATGTTGAACCTCACCAGCGGGTCTCCAATATTTTATTCTTATGATAAAACATCTACGTTTCCATTTATATATCATTGCATTTAAAATTTTTAATTTGTGAGATCAACTATTCACTTCACAAGGGAAAAATGCTACAAGAGTTGGTCTATCCATATCTCATTATATCTTATTACTACAGATAATTTAATGTTCGACCATATGTAATTTTTTTCACAATCACTGATTATGATAAACAAGTTACCAAAACTTAAATCTACAAAACTCTATTAATTTATCTTGTAAGAATAGTAATTCAATTAAATAATAGGTCTGCTATAAATAATAATGCACTAATCATATTGAAATTGTTTACGTCCAAAATCAATTAGACTTAGGACATAATATTTACACGTATGACTTTCCCAATTTACCATTGTTAAGATTTCTGCAAAATACTTATTGAACTGAATTCTATAAGATTAATGGTTTACGAATGTTTGTTAGTCTCCGATGAATGTTTATTTATGCGAATGTCAATTTTGTTTTATTTTTTTATGTATCTCAAATAGGCTATCTACATTGAGTTTCTCATTGCACACTCGAGAGATTTTAAGAACTCGAATGAGGATGAATGTAAGTGGTGTTGCTAATGACTGAAGTTCATACTAGTTCCAAGGTATGTTATTTGATAACGTAGTTCGTAGAGTGAAGGAAAAGTTGAATTTGGACGAGAATAACTTTGTCATAGATATGAAGTTCAAGGTGCCCTCGTTAATGTTGGGATTCTTGATTTATACAACGATACAATCTTACTGTGTTACAAGAAAATTTATAGTGATGCAATATTATGCTTAGAATTGTGCGATTAATTTGACTTGTCTTACACTTTTCAAGAGAGTTTTAGATATTTAGTCTCTATTTGAATATAATTTATAAATTCAGTTAAAGTCAAATATTAATTTTAACAACATATATACTATTATTCATTATTATCCACACAATTATAAAATCACTACTATTTCACTTT